CTCCTTACTTTTTGCCAGAAGACAGACCATTTTCATTACTTATTGCTCACTTACTGAAGGAAGTTTATAAACAACTAAGTGTTTAATTGCTGTAACAATGATGTTTACTGTAAAGGGAATAGGCTTAGCCACCCTCAAGCAAATAATTTTTCACATCATGACAACGCTTATCAACTTTACTACTGAATTTTAGTTATCCGCAGAGGAATTTAAACAGATTTCAGGTTAAGTCTTTAAATATCCATCTTTGAAGTACGCCTAAGGATTTATAACTCTTTGTTAAACTGTTAGATGGTTGAAAGCAGAAACCCTGCCTTATCTGCTTTTTGTGTTCCATCACCTTCATCAACCAGGCGAATCTGCTACTTCGAGGGCACTGATGTCCCCTAGAAGATTCAAACCCACGTCACCCAGTGCTGTAGCCAGAGATGTTACCATCGTGGAGGCCACACAACCACCTTTCTTTTACAAAGCCCTAAATTGAAAACTATGTTTTTTTATACTGTTTTCGACACACCCTACATTTTTCTTAAAATATGTTAAAACAGATTATTTATCTGTTATGCCCAATTTCCTATGAATATAATCTTTGTATCGCTTCTATAGAAATACACGTTGACTCGCTTCTACTGTATTCTTCCTGTTTCCAGTGCTGCTAGAAACCATTACTAATGGGTTGGTTCTAGAGAACTTTAGCAGGAAATCCATCTTCTATTTTCAAACCCATTACGAACCTTTTTGATAACAAACGCCTTCAAGTCTCGTCAACACCACACCTTTCGATCCTTCAAACCGTGCTACAAAGGTCGTATTCACCGTAAACCGAACTTGATAATGACTGTATTCAAGAAACTCTATTTTGAAAGTATATTCAGTACTTATTGACTTTCTTAACAACTTTTTGTCTCGGTAGATATTTTTATTGCTTGTTTGCTCCCCTCTAGTAGTTACTGATAACAGCGACTTAGATTTTGCGTCATGTATCCCTGGATCTACTATACCACCGAATTATTCGCGCAAAGACTGACCTTCAGGATTCTGTTAGGTATACTGATAGGTCAGTCACTTAGGAGCAGGTAAGTTATATCTTATCTTGAGTACTGATCAAATCCCATCGATCAGCTTTGTAATATAGTTGGTCACCAGGATGGGAGACTCATCACTACGGTGCACTTCTATCGATGTTGGATGAATGGATGTAATTGGTCGGAAGCCCTGAAGTTTACTTAACTAATGTAAGTTAGGCTCTCAGAATACATTTGTGACCAGGTCATTTTGTAGGTCGACTGTCGAAAGAATCCTACATGATATTCCTAACAAATTAGGAATTTATCAAAGATGGAACGCTATGGTAGATCATTTACACTGGCAAGTAAATTGCATTTAATATGGAAATCCAACTCAGTTCACTTCAAATCTGATTATCCAACAATACCATTTCCACTAAATGTTTGCAGTGAAATTTGGTCGCTACTCTGGGAATAAGATTTTCTGTTCTCGTGAACGCCTTTCAGTGTTGTTAAGTAGAGGTGTGATAAAAACCATTAACAGTTGTATATTAACGCACTTAGTTAAAATTAAAAAAATACACTGACTATGAATAAGTTGTTCTACATTATTTACTGGGTTCCCATCAACTTGAAAAAAGCACCTGGCTAGGAATTCTTCAAACTGCAGAAGTGGTAACAATCAGGATTAAAGAGGCCAGGTTATGTGTTAAGAAAAAGTAGATGTCACTACAACCACCTTGATCCTACTCGGGATTCAGAGATTCTTATAGATCCCACTTCATGCAAGGTAGTTCTCATCTTCCATGCTGTAGATATCTCATATATGTAATCTGAAGCAATTTTATCACGCACTCGTAGCGTATCGTATTTCCTGACATCAGCAACGTTCTATCACTATCTACTATTCCTAGAATTATTTATCTTTTGCTGATAACATTCTACTAGCATGAACACCTTATCGTTTCATTAAACTGTCACCTTATATACTACTAAGTAATACATCAGCGTTTGGAAATTCAGTTATTTCAAATTGAATTCCAGTAATAATTGATTATGACGTAAACGTTCACAGATGACGTTTTGAATACAGTTTCCCCATTAAATAATATTGTTAAGCGAAATCCCATTATTGTTAGTATAAAATTACACATCATGAGCATTTAACTGTAGAAAATGAAGACAAAGTTATCGAAAATAAGATTTTGAGGGAGTATTCATCACTGACTGATAGTGCTTCGAGAATCACTGGAAACCTGGGAGCAATGAACAGCTGTTTCGTCCTAGTATGGGATCTAGCAGTACGTACCCACGACCTGGCTGCGGGGTTAAACTCAAAACCTTCAAGTTTCATGGTGAACTTGTTAACCATTCAGTCCTTCGGTTGGAGTTCATTAGTTCACAGTCTCCAGCTTCTGTCAGCTCGTGATATAGCGCGACTATCACCCATCATAAGTTGGCATCCACTTCTCTACCGACTGGTTGACTCCACAGGTCACAGCTAACGTGTTTGCTATGAAAGTTCTGAAGATTCTGAGTCCGAGCCCAGCCGGGTCGTGAGTCCGTACTGCTGAAGAGTTCTTTACTAAGACAAAGCTGTTCAGTTCTCCCAATTTTTCAATAATTTTTCAAATGATGTCAGTCCATGATGAATGCTACCTCAAAATTCAAAATCACCATTAGCCTCGAAAAGAAAACTTTTATTCGCTGAAGCGGCTTCTGAATGCTCAAAGCACGACAATAATGATGCTCGTACTGGAAGGTAAAAGTGTCTACCGCACTGAAATTATCCCAGTACATAAAAATCAGTTGTCATCTAGACAGCGACTTTAGTCCCTTGCACTAGGTTCATTCAGTCGAATGCTTAGAATAGTATGGAAAGCTATACCAAATAGTTCAATTCCACTCAGGCACTGACGAATAGTTACGTTATTCAGAGAATATCATTGCCATCAGAAGGAGAACAATTTTCCCCTAAAGTTCATACAAGCCTTTAGGTGGAGTTGGAAGGTTGGTTATTAGTTTTACCGATTTTGATGACAAAATCGGTTGTTCGTTCCAGATGAGAACATAATAGTTTTCGAGGGATTTTTCTGATTGAGGTGACAATATGTAACTGTTTGTTCCTCGCCTTTACATAATCCATCCAACCTGAACTTTTCATCTCACTTCGAATAGAATTGGACTAACGAGGGAGAGTTGAATGTCGATAGTACCATCTGGCCAAGACATAGTTTGGCAGTCTGGTATTATGGATTCGAATTGATGGTAGATGGTGAGATGTGTATCTAAGTCGCGGTAGGATTCCAACTGTCAGCTCTAGAATACTTACCCTCCAGTCTAAAAGTCGAGCTTCTAGATGCAGCTCCTGAGAAGCAGTTAAGATTTGATAGGCAACTGGATTTCGTTGGTGGTTTAGTAAAGTTCTAGGACGGTATCTGAAGGGCTGTGTTTGAGTTCCACCCTCAATCATCACTTTATATCAGGAGTTTGTTTGTTTTGTCATTCCTGAAACTTCTTATAGTCCAAACAACCACTATAATACACTAAATTTATTCTTGGTAATTCAATTCAAACAAAATCTCTCATGAAGGATTTGAAAACCATTAGCCATATGGTGTTGCAATTTTATACATTCAAATCAGATTTATACTAAATGCTTTGCAAAACAGAATTCTAGTTTAGCCTTTATAATAAAATGACTAACTCTTTTTTCCTGTAACTGTGAAAACTACCCCTCGAAAGAAGCTAGACTTATGCTAAATCACTAATAAATTTTGACTCAACAGCCTGGTAGTAATGTGCTGACCACGGGACCAAAAGGGTCCTTGGTGCAATCCTTAGTTAAGTCATCGGGTGCACAATTTGAAACGGTTCCATATTAGAATGAAACAGCTGTCCAATGCTCCAAAGTTTTTAATGGTTTATGAATTTATATCAATCCATAATGAATACCAACTTAAGATTATGAACAGTTTGTTGAAGTTAATAACTATTTGATCAAGTAAACAAATTTGATGACTACTATTACTGAAGAAAATACTTTTATTGTACAATTGAACGCAGGGAATCGATCAAACGATCAGATATAATCATTCACTAGTTTAGATCAGCTAGAAATCACTTCTCAAGGTAGTCCTATAGCACTCAGTGTATAAAAAAGATTTTCAGAATAATACTACAAATACTATATGCTATGTGGGACATTAGGACTACATTATTTCAAACACTCTGGATTCAATGCAAACACAACTTGTATCAAATTTACAAGTATTATTTATCATTTTATGTGACTGGACAATAGCACCTTGGGTAAATTAATAAATAAATTCACAAAAAGTAGAAGGAAAAATATGAGCAGAAGTAGTAATAGTAGTAGCAGCAGCAACACAGGTGTTATTAGTAATAATTCTATCAGTAACAGTAATAATGGTGACAGGATTGAGAGACAGTTCAAGGCCTCCACTGGGTTACCAATATAAAAATAGTACCCCAAAAGTGTCACAAAGAATTTATGATATAATTAGGATTACAGTGGCATTTAAACCAACATAGTCGCTTAGAAACCAGTTTTGTAGGTTAAAAGATCCAATTGATCCAATTAGACAAAATAATTTAGTTTACTAAATCCCTTACAATAATTTCAAGGTCAAATATATAGGTCAAAGTAGTTGATCAAAGTCGACTGGAATAAAAAAGCGTAAAAACTTAACTAAATCAAGATAAGTAGGTCCTGATAAAATATTAAAATTCTACTATTCTTATCACGACGAGGAACAGGGGATTACAACTAGATAAAATATGTCTCAGAGTTCTGGAATTGGTGTAGATGAATATGGACTATAAATTATGTTCAATACATTATCTAGTAAATGATACTCTTTCATTGCCTGACATTTCTGAAAGAAACATACTAAAAATGAAGTAATTAGGCTGAATCAAGTATATCGTCGAGAGAAAACCAATACTGAAATAGAAATAACACTCGCTTACCATGATCGATAAGGCATCCAATTAGTAACAATAAAATTTGCATGTTTAATTTGCCTTATTATTATTATTATTATTATTAGAGCATAGTGTAATTCTATGTTTTACAAAACTGACGTCAAGCGTGTTACAGTTATCATTGCGATAGAATTGATGATGATGATGATTGATTGATTGATTGGTAAGTATTGATTGATCTTACAAAATTCCCCCGAACATATTTTTAAAAAAGCTTTGTAAAACAGAATTGTTTGTTTTGTTCAGTTGGGATATATTGTTTTATTTGTTGGTTCATCTAAAAAAATTTATCAAAAGAAAGAAGAAAATTGGGGACAATTGATTTCAAATGAAAAATAAATAAATAAATAAACACGAAATTCAAGCTAATTGATAATGAATGAAAAATTCTGTTCAAAGTTCCTAGGATAGCAAGATGTTTATGCCTACCATCCTAAAGTTTCTCAATAGATATATATGTAAGCTAAATTGGTTCAGTAAACTCTATTATGAAATTAATTGCGTAACTAACTAGAATGTTACATTTGTAAAATTATCCTACTCACTAATCAACTTAGGCAATGGCCCTTCCATATTTGGAACATTTGATCAGAAGCTTAGTTACTGTACATCTATTAAACACAATGTATATATATATTCTCTTCAATTACACCAAAACTTCAAACTGTTTGTGAGTTCCTTTTTTTTCTCTACTAAAGAAAAGGATGATAAGAACATGACAAATTCGCATGTCTCTAAAGTTAGGCAAAGTGATACACTTCAATAAACCTGAGTATTCTGTAATTGTAAACACAAAAGTGACTGAAAGTTACACTCTATACAAACCTTTATGTGTGACAGACATTAAAAGGGTGAGCTTTATCTATAGCCGGAAGTAATTTAGCGCAAAAATATGAAAACTAATAGGTTCCTTTGAAAAAAACTAAACAGAATCTGTTTTAGAGGATATGTTTGAGACACTAAAGTCTGAAAAGTTTTGTTTTCATTAAATTATGCATATTTTTAGGCATACTTATTGAAATTAATCATTACCTGGTTGTAGTAGTTACTATTTTAGAAATAATAGTATTATTGTTAGGAGTGGAAATAGTATTAGCAGTAGTGGTACCGGTACTAATCGATAAATCTGATGCACAGACATTAAAGTTTATCAGTATGTTTATTCATTCACCCAAAATACATGATATGTAATCAAGGCTTACTGTCATTAGGTATCTTTCCATTTATTGAACCTGCTCATTATTAATGACGCCGCATTGGACTAATGATTATCTAGTTTTGAAGTAGGATATATATGTCCACGATTTACAGGAATGAAAAGAATTCAAGTTCTCGTATAATGTTTGTGTATAACAAGTTGAAGAGTCTTTAAAGCATGAATAGTTTGAAATTTCAACACCCCTTTCCTTATAGTTGAGTTGTTAGACAATAAAATGTAAACAGTAACTACACTATACCACCAGCCTTTTTATTCTACTCTTTAATGACAGGTGAGTAATAAAGTCATCTTTTTCCATCTCTTTTTCGTTAGAAACAATAGAAAATAGAATTGAAAAACAAGCAAACATGTTAGTAGGTTTTGAGTAAAATTTTATACATTCATGGAAAACTTCAAATTGTAAACAAACTCATAAATATGATCAGTTGTGTTAGAGTTCGGAAGGGATAAAAAAACTATTTTAATGTTTTAGAGAAATATACCTCCACTTATAGACTTAGACATGAAAATACGGAAACAGTTTAATTACTTCATCCTTTTACTGCATAATCCTGTCAGACTGTAATCTTTGTTTCTAGTATTGTTTTATTATTTATGATGGGAAGAAAAGACAAAGTTTAAGTTTATTTATTCATTTTTATTAAAGTCAAAAATTGCGCTTTCACATCAGTAAAAAGTTTTAAGTAGATTGGAGCATTAATAGTAATTGGAACAACACCGTAAAACCAAATAAACTCTAATTGTACTATTATGACAGAAAATTAGGCGGGAAATGTTGGTAGTGGGAACAGAATTACATTATACAACGGAATAAATATGAATGATAAGTTGTTGAAATTTTCCTTTAAGTTGTTCACTGACTTTCAAACTTTGAAAAAGTAAATGAGAACCATCGAAGTAGGGGATTCCTGTCTCTGCTGTTCTATGTTCATGAATACTTGCTTTATAATGGCACTGGACTAATGAACAAAGTAAATCTTGCAGATCTTTTGAATGACTATGTTCAGTACAGTTGATTTTCATCTTCTAGTATTCAAGATTCGTTGTTGCACAGGTTTTTTGAAGGTTACCATTATAAAAGCAGCCTCCAGTAACCTTCCCTGGCTCTTATATACAGAAGATCATACTCTAGCATGTTTCTTCGTGTGTTATACCATAAAGCAGCATTATTATTTATCAAGTAACACCTCATTGTCTGAAGTATCCACATAACTCCGTGATAGCAACACTCATGAGTACAATTAGAAACAAGTTCAGTCATCTAAACAATTTTACTGAACCTGCTGCACCAAGAAATTTACTGTTTCTAATTTCCTGTTTTCACTTTAAAGTCAAATGTACAAGTTCATACATATTGCTCTATGCAATCATATGTATTAACGGAGTGACTATATAGTGACCACATTTAACTAGAACAAAGTTCACCTGCTTAACTAGTTCAATAGTTACTAGCTGGTCCCAAGCCAGGATAAAGAGGAAAGGTTGAGCGTAGGGCTAGTAACCGTACCCCGGAAAACCAATCCAACTGCTACAGAAACTTTAAAGCACAAGCAAAATATAAAATATAAAAACAAACTTATTCCTCACTGGAATCGGAAGGATGAAATGACGCCAGTTGGTGAAAGCCTTCGGGAAGCCAATTGGCCAGTGTGTCTTGTCTCTATCCATGAAAGCAAAAGTAAACATGGGGACGTGGAATGTCCGCACTATGTTTGAACCTAGGAATGCTGCCCAGATTGCAGAAGAGATGAGAAGGTATAGTACTGAAGTGCTGGGAAAGCAGATGGGATGGAAGTGGACTCTCCAAACTGTCAACCAGAGAATCAATAATCTACTCCGATGTTGTCATCCAGACAACAACCATGAGCACACTGAGATTTGTCCCCAGAGCATCGAAAAGTGTCATGCAGTGGGAACCAGTTTCCTCCTGTAGGATCATAACAGCAAGGTTTAACTCAAAAGGAAGGAAAGTAACAATCATACAATGCAACGCTATGCACATGTAAACAGTGCGGACCAAAGAAGAATGAGGAATTCCTCAGACAACAGCCATCAACACTGGACAAAACTTCAGCTGGCTGCATCAAAATTCTAATGTGTGTGGTGATATGAATGCCAAAATAGGAGCGGAAAACACAGCTAGACAATTCCTGCATCATGGATCGAGATGTACTCGGTAACTGTCTACCGCAACTAAATCCACTTGGAAAAAGGCATTCGACAGCACCAATCGACAAGTAGTTTGATAGGTAGCCACCTCAAAACTACACTACAGTTTCACTGTCACAAACCTTCATCTACCTCATTCAACAACTATACGACGACACCACATGTCAAGTGATTCACAATGGAAGCTCAGTGACACCTCTGAAGTGAATACAAGAGTAAGACAAGGCTGACACCTACAATCAACAACGATCTTCGTGATTGTGGTTGGCTGGACTTGACTTAACTTGACATGACTTGACTTGACTGGACTAGACTGGACCATGCAGCAAATCATGATGAGCTGTGAGTAGATGAGCATACGCTGTTTGACGGATGAGAAGACTCCAAGAGAAGATTTGGATTTCGTCGTCGATGATGATTAATGTCTAATGTCGCACAAACTGGAAGATCAAGGGATGAAAACTGCCAAGTTGGTGGGAGATGCAGGGTAGCGAAGACGGGACTTCAGGTGAATGTAGAGAGGACTGAGTTGTTGGAGACATCAACCAATGACGACAACAACAATATCAACGAGCGCCGCTCACCATGAATGTCAGAAGTTTGACGGAAGTAGTATCTTTCACCTACCTTCCTACCTACGTGCCTACGTACCTACCTACCTACCTACCTACACACCTACCTACCTACCTACCTACCTACCTACCTACACACCTACCTACCTACCTACACACCTACCTACCTACCTACACACCTACACACCTACCTACTCACCTGCCTAGGCGGGCAGCATCGTTTCAACTACAGTCGGCGGCGCAGACGGGGACGTCAAAGCCAGGATCGGAGAGACAGTAAGACAGGCCTTCCTTCATCAATCTGAAATCAGTGTGTAGATCTACTGCACTGCACTGCACTGCACTCAGCATAAAGTGTGAAGAAGATCCAAGTTTCCAACAGTAATTCAGCCATGTCAGTGCTTAAATGTGATGGTTCAGAAAAGTGGCGCGTCACAACTATAGTGATTCAATGGATATATAGCGCTAAAACACTCGCAGTCGCATTCCTTACTCCCCACTGATTATTCATGCATATTGATGTGGTAAAAGACGCCTTCATACACCAAAATCTAAGATCTAACAACTTCAGAACGTTTTGAAAAATATTTATAATACACTACTGACATTAATTTTTTGTATCTTGAAATTTAAAAAAGTATTTCTTTTTAATACATTTTTACATAATTTGTTAGAATTTTAAAATGAGGAAACCAAGAGCGGTTTCGGTAGAGAAATCTACGTTTTTGACTAATTAACACTGTCGGTATTGTCATACACGTGAATATAAGAAGAGAGTGGAAAATTCTAGAATAATCTCCATTCAATGTCAGATTATACAAGGAAGCAAAGAAGTAAATGATTGAAAGTTGAATAGTATAGGTGAGAATTTGAAACAGAAAAAAATAAAGAAAGAATAGAATTATAAAATAAAATTACACAATATACTAAAGGAAAATAATGAATAGTTCAAGTGAAAATGATCACAAAGTCATTCAATATTCAACATGTTGTTTAACTATAGGACACTTAAATTTCCGGTTTCAAAATTCAATGTTTTTAAATTGCCTATTTCGAAAATTAATTCTTTATTGTATAGTGTCTATTTCTGAGATTCAATTCATTTATTATTATTTATGATAGCAGTTTTCTCAAAAGGTTTCACAACTAGATGATTTTTTTTTTCAAGTTGTTATTCATCGGAAACTGACATCAGTTGGAGGAACAAAGGAAACCTGGGAGCACTGGACAGCTGTTTCGTCCCCAATAGTATGGGACTCCTCAACAGTGCGCACCCACGACTCCACCAGCAGGGATCAAACCCGCGACCTTCAGGTT